TGAGTTATGCTTCCCCCTGTGATCCTAAGGGGATGGTTGAAGACGCCAAATCGAAGTTGCTGTTTCGAAACTGACACTGCAAACGGAAAATGTGTACATGGGAATATTCGCACACATGAATACTGTAACGGAATAACCCCGAAAATAACGACAAATTGCTCTAGAATAGAACTGTCACTAAGCCAAAGTGAAGACGGAAACCTAAGAGACTTCGACAATGAGAGCAGCACCAAATGCGACTCCGTGTCTTGCCAGCAGAACGTATCTTTCACGCATAATGCAGGCACATCGTCGCAAACCTTGATCGATATGCTCCCTGCTAGATGTAGTCGTTGTCTCACAATATACGAACAAGGGAATCCCCAAGCGGAAAATCGCCTGAACGAAGAGCCTAACCCACCAAAAGACCGCGCAGCTTGGAAAGCCCTAAAGGACTGGTCTAACATGTGTATTGTGAGTTAAAGTCTGATTTGCTTCAACTTAGATGAAACCTTGCTCGAAAATGCCTTCGGGGTTGGGGAGGAACGGAGCGCGACCTCTATGGTTATTTCCATATTTCAGATATTCGCCCTGCTCAGACTGGTTTGATAGGGGCTCCTCTTTGATGTTAGCCTAGATTAGCCTGTAACCGCCGCAGAAGAATAGATGTTTATAATCTTCCGATAACAAGCATTTAGCATGGCGTTTCAGACTTCCCTCGCTGTTTGTGTAGGGCGAGCTATATAAAAAGCAGTGGACGGCTGGGCGCCCATTTCAATAAATGAGCAGGATTCTTCTGAATGTAAAAAACATCCGCAGTTACCCTGGTGGGATGAATGGCAGGCTTGTTGTGGTGGTGCTGGACTGATGGAGATTGGCGATAATTGATGTGCTTCCTGAAGTCCTTGGCCCTGAAACACTAGTACCTGACGATACGACCATTCCACCGCAAATTACAATATCAATACCATCTGCCATACACCCTTGCGAATCGGTGACGATTTCAATTCAAGACAAAAAAAAAGCTTCAAACCAAGCTCCCTGAACGCACCACAAGCACTCTCCGCACTCCAAAAGATTTGACCTATTTCAGCATATAGTTGCAAGCTTCATATCCTTTTTTTTTTGGTACCCACCTTTACCCTCTGTTATTGTCCTGCATCATTTATCCGAGACTGTGACATTGTCTAGTATTCCTAGCCTGCCGCGGGGAGACCCCTCTCTCACTGCGCTGCATCTTTAGACAAGAACCCAGTGCGAAATAGGTTGACTTTGATGATACGCTTGGAAACGGAAAATACTCCAGAACCTTAACTAGAAATGCCCCCTTCAACTGTAACCCTGACGCCGGGGCTACAGTCCTTCCTGAAGGTCTTGAAGACGAGTGACGTGGATAGTGCGACGGAAAACTTGATATCGTATGTCTCTTCACTGAATCACTGCATCACGGCGGCAACTTCTTGGAAGGATGTTTCTTTTAACTTAGTCTTATTGTAGGTTATTAAAACGGCACCAGCTACGGTCTTCACACTCCTGCGCTGTTGCGACGGCATACCTCCTCCTCCGCGTCGTCTCAACATCGAAAAATAATTAGACCCCGAAAGATGATTGACCCGTGTCCAGAATTTCAGAAGGGGACTCATTGCAGCGCAGCCCCAGGGAGATGTTGTTTGGTAATATTGTGCGCCCGTGTTTTGGGCTTGATTAGAGAAGAAGCAGAGGATGGGAGGGAGGCTGAATTCTGTCTATCGAGTGACGCTGGAACTGATACTCAACCGCATACACCTCCGGCTGTTGAAAGCCATGCAACCCTACATCCACCAAGTTTATCCACACATGGTCCCCATGGTGGTACCCGTGGCGCAAGCCTTTTAAGTCGTTCTGAAGGTCGAGATGCTGACTGGGAACGGGGTACAAACTCCTCTGTTCGCTCTGAAACCATGGAAAGATCCTCGTCCCGCCCACCTATGGTTTCATACGGTTCATTTGCGACTACCACCACAGAACCCCCAGTAGTATCAATGTTTAGGTTACTTTCATATCCGCAAGTGGAGTCACCGCAAGCTAGGTCCCCAGGCAATGCATCGCCTTCTGGACGCACACGAGGGCAGTTCGCCTTGAAGGATTTCAAAGCTGAGGTCATTGACGGCATTGGCGAGATTGTCGACGAACTAAGCCAAGTGGAGGACCAAATCGCCAGCTACGCCCTAGAGCACATCCACTCCGACGAGGTCATACTCACCTACACTTCGTCCGTGACGGTGCATAAGTTCTTATCGAAAGCTGCAGCCAAGCGAAAGTTTACAGTGATTCATGCTGAGTCCTATCCCAACAGCCATCGCGAGACACATGCGGTCGTGGCCGGGCGGCCGCCTGCGAGGAGTGGAGACGAGGAGAATTTAAGTCCCGAATCGTTCCAGAAGTCACTCACCGAGCTGGGCGTAACAGTGATTCTAATCCCTGACTCGGCAGTTTTCGCACTAATGTCACGGGTCAATAAAGTCATCCTTGGCACGCATTCGGTGCTGGCAAACGGTGGACTAGTGTCAGAAGCTGGAACTAGAGCGATTGCGAATGCAGCAAAAGTGCACAAAATCCCAGTCATTGTCGTTAGCGGGATATATAAACTCAGCCCCGTATACCCGTTTGACTACGAATCGCTCATCGAGTATGGTGATTCGAGCGCCGTGCTGCCATATGAAGCTGGGGACCTGGAGAAAATTGACGTTGAGAACCCGCTATATGATTATGTCCCGGCTGAGCTCGTCGATCTCTACATTACAAATCTGTAAGTCTACATTCCATGGATCTCAATGATTTATTTCCAAATTCGACGACTTGCCTTAGCTTCTTCCTGCATGGCCCTTCATTTTCCCCGAGAGGGGTTTGTGGACCAGGGTTGTGGGCAAAAAAGGACGTACGTTGCTAACCCATCGAACACAGGGGTGGACATGCACCTTCTTATCTGTATCGTATTGTTTCAGATCACTACCGAAAGGAAGACATAGCCTTCTAAAAAACAAGGGAAACAGAGAATAATAATATCCGGGAAGGGAACAAATCAAGAATGCTTGGAATGAGTGAAGTGGGGTTCCAGATAATGAAATGACAGCAAGCAAGTATTATCACGATGAAAATGAAGTGAATTCCAAGTTGATATCCGAATCAGAATTCGCCAGAGGAAGATGAGGAAGATGAAGGCAGTAAACCAATATGTTGATAATAAACTCCAGTCGGTGACAAAGAAAACTGGGGAGAAGGGAGATAAATTTAAAGGAAGGGGAGGACATAAGCACACTGCGGAGACTACGTGATCTGTGAAGTGCTTGCCGGAGTACCGCGGCTTCGCTGAAGTGTACCTCTCTCTTCTTCTATGCTGATTTGTTTTATACGATACCCATTCGGGCGACGGAGATCAACGGTGACCCAACCCTTAATAAGCACTTGTTGTCAATAGTTAACAAATGGTGAAAGTTCGAAGACAGGCAAGCAACGAACCCGCCATCCTAAGTACACCCATTCATCCACAATCATGCACTGCAAACATATTTGTAAAATTTTGTAGGAGGTTTATTTTTGGAATAAAGTAAAAAAACATAAAACGGAGAAAGTATTTCTCCAATCATTCCGGGGCATTTATCTCTAAAGCCAGTACAGACAGACTGCATTCACACGCACGAAAAACACACAAGCTGCCTGTAAAAGAACCACGACACACGCACCAAGATCCTCGTTTCTCCACTCCCTCAATCTTCTATCTTCTTGGTTTACGATCTTGGCTTCTCCTTCTTCTCCTTCCATAGGGCCGAAAGGCCGACACCGGACACCTTGACGACCTTGAATCGGACACCGGGAATATCACCCTTGGCCTTGCCCTTGCGACCGAAACCGGCGAGTAGGACTTCGTCGTTTTCATCGACAAAGTTCAAGCAACCGTCGTTGGGGACTGGAGTGTAAGAATTGGAGTTTGTTAGTTCAAAGGGGAAAACAAAACCGAAAGGAAAGGAAATTAAATGAATATGCCATATTCTATAGAAAGATTTACGCCTTCCTTGCCGAAGGAGGTTCCCGTTTTCCTCATCTCAACTTTTCTCGTCCCTCATCTATCGAGCGAAGGAGCGAAAAGATTTTCCCAAAATCGCAACCAAAAAAAATGAAGGAAAGAAAGGACCAGGCATCAGAAATGACAACAGATTTCACACAATACGCACCGAAAGCCGTAACCTTCTTTCCGTTCTTGATGAGTTGGACTTTGACGCACTTCCGGATAGCAGAGTTGGGCTGCTTGGCCTCAACACCGACCTTTTCGAGGACGATACCCTTGGCGTGAGAGGAGCCACCGAACGGCGAGGACTTGAAGGCGGTTCCGAGAAGACGCTTCTTGTAAGTCAGATCGGCCCATTTGCCATCACGGCGATGGTTGCGCAGCTTGCGGGCCGCGTTGAGACCACGAGGCTTGCCCTTTCCCATGATTGCCGGTGATTCTGTTCTTGATCGGGTTCTATTGGATGTTTTTTTGATTCAATTAGAATGGTGCTTCTTTCTCGACGAGAGACGAAATCATAGATTGTAAAATTTGTGGTTTTCTGACGGGCTCGAGGGTCTTTATATAGGCAGAAAGTTGGGCCCTGCTCTCATGTTTAACGTGGGGGGGGGGAAGGGTTTGGGACTGGGGTGATGAGCAGGGAAGGGCGCATATGAGTAGACAATGAAACATACCGATATCAATCAGCTGTCGCCAGAAAGCAGCAGGATGGCTGGTTGAGGAGAGGGATTGTTCGATGTCGAGGATTAGGAAACCTGGTGGAGTTTGGCTCGCTTGACTTCCGCTTGCGGGCTTACTCACACTGTGTCTGCGCTTCTTACGGTACGAAAATTGTCGGTGTGGGTTACGGGGCTGTATTGCCCGCTAAGCGAGTAAATTACCGGATACGGGATATTATTTATCCGAACACCCTCCAACTATGACGACGAATGCGGCAATCATCGAATACTTTTGTGGTAGCTCATGCAGCAGGCCAACACACCATCAAACAGGGACCTGATGTGTTGGGTCACTCACCAGTCGTGTCCGATGTCCTCCATAATAATCGTGGCTTGACCGTTCAACACTAGTTATTGTTTTCCTTTGTTGTACTCCGTACAGTACATGTACATAGTGTTAAGGTTCTGGCTCAAGGGCGAATATTGAAGCTGGCAAGTCTACTGCTTAAATTACAGGCCAGCACATCTGAACTTGCCTGTATGGTACGGAACAAAGAATGGCTCCGGAGATCAAGCAACCGGAGGGAAGTCCCCGGTCCTAGGAAAGTGCAGGCTCACCACTGGGGGCTTTCATGGGGCCAGCGAGGCATTGCGAAATGTATAGAAGCTATTTGAGAAATATATGG